CATACATAATCCAAGACACTTCCATCAAACTGGTTAACATAGCCTTCATGTAACTTTCTTAGTTATTATGTCAAAACATTCATATTCTACTCATATAAAGATTCACTTGTACCCTTGCAAGATGAGTGCAGCGGCTGTTTCTAACACCAAAACCCACAGCTGGAATTGTCCTCCCTGTTGTAGGAAGTGCTGGGCAACTTAAGGCCAGGAGGGGGCGTCATATGAAACTTGTAGCATGAAAGGACAGATTAGCAATGAGCTGTCTGTTGGCACACTGGCTCCTGGAAGAAGGAATGGGGGAAGAGGAAGAACTCCATAAACTTGGTTTTCTCTGAAATGCACCTGTCAGGTGACTCCTTCCATACCCAGGGGGAAGAGACAGGGTTGGTGGCAGAAGCCAGGTAATCCCTCCTTCTAGAACCAGAGAAATAGGGGAAAGCTGTTTCCTACTAATAGCAGACTTCCAGGTGGAGGCTCAGGAGTCTATACATTTAGCAAGAACCACACGGGTTTCTGAAGCAGACAGTCCTCAGACTCCAAGAAGCAACGTTCTGGAATGGTCTGGTGCTGCTGAATGCCCCTCAGAGAAAACCACGTGGATGAACTCACTCTCTTTCAGAAACTTACAGATTAGGTTGGGCAATGATGCTGAAACACAGCCAGCACTTACATGGTGCTTATGGTTTCAGCTTCTGTTCCAAGCACTTCATATAAATGAAGTCATTTAAACATGTGAAGTTGACAACAGCCGTTAAGAGTTAGATATCAAGACAGAGAGAAGTTGAGCAATTTTCTCAAGACTGCCGAGCCAGAAAGTAGCAGGGCTAGAAATGGGATCCAGTCTGTGTGACTCTAACTATCCTCTTCACACCTTGCTATATTGCTGTACGTGGTTCCCTGTCCACGGATACAGATCTTAGCAGGTGGTGCCGCATTGAGTGGTTGGCTCAGGGAATTCACAATCCCACGTGGCAAAACCCAGCACTGTTGAGAGGCTAAGCAAAATTGCTATGCTATTGTTTCAATAATCGATAGAGCGGCTCGTGAATCCATTTAAACAAAGCAAACTGAAGTGTTAGTAGCTACCTATTAATTTGGGTTTGTTTTTTTTTTCAACCAGTGGACATTAAAATCACAAATATGTTGCTGGATTGTTTTTTGTTTTGTTTTTTAACATTTTTAAAGAGGATTGGCATATGTGAAAGAAGTGTGTGCTACCATCAGAAGAAATGCAGGCAGGGTACAGATGGAGAGAAGAGGAATTTGGATGTTATGACTTAAGGTTAACCAGGTGAATCTGAATTAAGACCATGAGTCCAAACCTTACACGGAGCACGTAAAGTAAAAGATGCTTGATGGTTCCACTACCCTCTCTTTGCCATTTTCCATGCAGGATGAGCGGATGCTGAGTGGAAGGTACGTGGATGGTGGGGACTGAGGAGAGAGTGGAATGATTCCACTCTGGAGTGGAATACCCCAGAAATATGGGGACACTAGCACACACTGCCATTACTGAGCCTCCCAGTCAGATTTACCCACTAGATGTCATTTATTGAGTAGATATTTATTAGCCACCTACTGTATGTTAGATACTACACACTTCTTGCCCTTAGACTAAGGGAGGAAATAGATATTTACAAATGAGGTGTGGATATGTCTAGATATTACCATTTTATCTTTAAAGGGTCTAAATCAGCTGATAGCAAAAATACCTGTAGGACATGCTAAGTAGGGGTGTCTTCCCTCTAAGGTGGGAGTGGAGATAAAGTTGCTTGGGGTTATTCATAAAAGGCTTTACAGTAGAGATGGGCCTTGGGAGGATTATGGGTGGGCATTGGTGGGGACAAGGGCAGTTGCTGCCGAGGGAGAGCTGGGTGAGAAGGACATAAGGGAGGACACGGGCAAGAAAACTGTGCATTTTTCTTGGGCAGGAGCGAAACGTGGCTAATAGAAGATTTGTCTCAAGGGGTACATTGAGGTTTCCCTCAATTGCTTGAGATGCCATAATATAGAATTTGGACTTTCAGATATCTGAAGATGACCTTCCTTGAAATTCAGATGGTCACCTAAATTCAACGAAAGATCGTTCCCCGTTCATCAGTTCTGAGGGCCTGATACACTTTATCATGCCTAAAAACATCGTGATGCCAACATGGGTCCTTAGGGATTCTGTTCCATCTCCCCCAAGGACTACACCTCCCCGGTATATCCCATTCTCAGGCTGAGGTCGTTAAATGAGGTCTCTCCCTAAGCCATGGCAGCAGGCCCTGGCACACAGCTTTCTCAGATCAGGGCATCATGCCTTTCGGATCTAATAGTTTTGCACAAATGTCTCCAGCTTGTTGCACGTGAAATTGATCGGCTCTTAGGCTCCCTGAATTGGTGATACGTTTTTCTGAGGAATTCTACAAGTTTTAGATGTGATCGTACACAATGACAAAGTGGGTGTAGTATTTTTCCCATGCCTCTAATTTATGTATTTGTGCTGGGGTGATGATTTAGATAGGAGCTCGATAAATTGATCAAATAAATTACACCAAACCCGCACGCCATCATTTCAGGGAGCTGTCATCATACCAAGGAGGTTCTATATCACCCAGCATGGTGTTCCAGGAGAGCCACTGTGTTTTCTTAACATGCTGCTGGGCTTTTATTTGGTCAGAAAGGTCTTTATTTCTCAGATTGGCCAACATTACAAGGAGTTAACTCCAGCGGACATGAGGTTAGCTGAGGAAGGGAGTAATTACTGGCTGTGTGACCTCTGCAAGTTATTTAAACTCTCGAAGCCTCAGTTTCCCTTTCTATAAAATGCTGATTTATAATTCCTGCCTCAAATGTTTATTGTAAGGGTAAGAAATGATCCGCTGACACAGTGGAAAGAATCTGTGTGACAGACAAAGGTAGACTTAGGTCCTCACTCCATCACTACCTGTGCAAATCACTGGTCCTTTGTAAGCCTCAGTTTCCTAGGCTGTAAAATGGTGTTGGTGATAATTCCAGGAGATAATTTCACCTTCTACACGTGGTGAGAGCAGGTCATTTAAAGGAGATCAGGTGGATCTGATGCTCTGAACTGCAAGGACCAGAGACGTCAGCACCTTAAGAAATTGACTGCAAGACTGACTCACCTAAGATGCTAAGATGTGCTGGAGACTGAGGCCAACATCAAAGTCCAGTGCTGGGGGCAGAGGAACAGTGGTTCCTCTAAATAGCACTCCTGTGTTGACACAGATCTATTTTAGAGGAAGCAGTGAGTGTGAGAGCAAAAACTCTGGAAAAAGTTGGACAAAGAGGGGCTCTTCCCTGTGGGCTCTGACCTCATAAAACAGGGGTAATCCCTCCTCTTTGATGTGAGAAAACAATCTCTGCCCATGCCCAGAAAGCCTGTAAATTATTAATAATATACAGCAGGAATTAGCAGTATTGGAATGCTAGAAGAGTAATATGTCTGTCAATAAATAAGTGTTCCTTGAGTTAGGAAGTGAATATGTGAATGAATGAATGAATGAATGAATGGATCAATGAATGAATAAATGAATAGATGGATGGATGAATGGTTTTGGATTCTGACTTTAGCACAGGCTAACTGGGTAACCTTAGACAAATGAATTAACTGTCCTAAAGCCTCCATTTCCTCTGTATAAAGTGGAGATGATAAAAATGGCCACCTAATTATGAGAACTAAGCATGTTTGTGCAGGTTAAGCTCTTAGATCAGGGCCTGACACCTGATAAAAACTCACAGTCAATGAAAGCTGCTGTTGTGATGATTCGCCGTTATTTATATTGTGTGATCAGCAGTCCCTGAGAATGGATGGCTTGGCTTCTCCTTTTAAGATGTTGCATTCTCTGTACTTTACAGGTCAGCAGGTTCTGGGCTTGGTAGAGAATCAGAGTGACTGGTACCTTGGAAACCTGTGGAAAAATCACCGCCCGTGGCCGGCCCTTGGAAGGGGCTACAACACAGGTAAGGGGTGGCATCACCCAGGGTTACAGAGTGTGACACGGGGCTCAGGGACCCTTCCTTGGGGAGAAGAGGTAGCAAAAGCCAGCAAGAGGCCAGCTGGCTGCTTGAATTCAGCAGTGGGCAGTTTCTTCCTAAGGGAGCTGTGGCTACGGGCAGGGTGGCTGTTGGACCTTGGCAGTCTCACCAGACTGAACATCTTTCTAGGATAACGATGGGGTTCTTTGGCTTCGTCATCTAGACTGGAGATCATTCTGCAATACCAAACCACACCCCAATATTTCAGGGTCTTGCCACAACACAGATTTATTTTTCTTGGTCATGGGACATTTCCACTGTAGGTCTACAAGGATCTGTGTTCACGGTAGGCATTCAGGATGCATCTCCAGGCAGACTTCCATATTTCAGTGGGAAAGTAGCAGAAATCGTGTTACCTCTTCTGTTCAGAAGTGATACAATTTCTGCTCATATTTCATTAGCTAAAACACGTCACAGGGCCATTCCTCCCTTGAAGGGGTGTGGGCAAGCACAGCCTACCGTGTGCCTGGCAGAAGAATAGGCAGGCGTATTTGGAGATCAGCACTGGTGAGGAGCATCACTCTTCAGCACCAGGGTCTGAAGTCAGACCCACCCTTCTCCCTTGTTACTGGCCCCAACTCACTTCTCTGCTTTTGCTTCTGTTATTGGTGTCTTTCATCCATTCAAAAACTCTTGTTCACCAACTGTCTTGACTTCTTACTGGGCATGAGGCCTTATGCCAGGTATGGGGCCCAGTTCATGACCCCACTGAGTGTGCAAATGACGAAACTGGCAACTCTCTTTCCTGAGGCTCAAGTACTGCCAGTGTCTGTCCCTAAAAGGCCTCCGGGTCCTCTTTCTTCCACCCCACCCCCTTCCTCCCTGCCACTGCTTTGGAGCCTTGTTCTCAAAGGATTATGGCTCATGACCTTTGTCAGGACTTGGACTTGGAACCCAGAGAGCTGTAGGGCAGGTCAGGCAAAGAAGGACTTGGACTTGGCATTGAAGATGAGCAAAGGTGCTGGGTCGTGGAAGGTGTCTGGGGACAGCACCACCTGACCGTGATGGCTGAAGTCTTTCCTGGAGGCTAAGGCTGGTCTTTGGGGGGAGGAGAACCAAAAAGTCCAATCGGAGGGTGGATGGTCAGACTCCAGAGAGGTCAGATTCAAGCATGGGTCCCCAGAGGCTGAGGGATAAACCAGAGGTGAGAATTAAGAGATGGGGTAAGAGTGGGGAGCAGGTCAAAGCTAGAGGAAAACCAGGAAAGAAAGTCCAGCATTAGTGTCCTGAGCAGCCAGAGGTGGCAGCCCGGGAGCCAGCGAGAGGAATAAGTGGATTGTCTCCCTGTTTTGCTCTCTTGTGCCTGGATTTCCAGACATGGTCCTTGCTGCCTTTCACAGAGTTGAAGGCCTCCATGATGGCTGGATGGGAGAAGGGAAGTTGAAGGGAAACGCTAGTCAGATGCTGAGTCTCTACCTTCTGTGACTTGTAATAGAGAATGTCACACAGAGATGTACGACAGTGCCTCGGGGATGCAGCACCAAGGTCACAGTTACCTGCATAAAACAAAAACCACCGGTCATCAATCCGGGTTTGCAGGGAAAAGAAGAATGTAGCACTCTGGGGAATTTATTATGGAAAAAGTGGCATGCTTCCTCCCCTCCTCCCTGTTTGCTACAGAGGTGGAGCCAGGGGACACACAGGTGTCTAAATCCACCAGCAGCTCCTAGTTGATCTGCCACAGCAGTGAGTTACTTCCCAGCCTGCTGGTTCTAAGAGGGCAGAGCAGATGGGGAAGGGCCCCATTAGAAATGATGTGTCTATTTAAATACGCTGGTGACACCAAGTGATCGTTATAAAAGGATTTAGGAGACATCAGGGTGTGTTGGCTTTCATGCCAGGGATTTATTATCTTAGGACCAAGGATGGTGGCTGGATGTGGTGGCTCACACCTGTAACTCCAGCACTCTGCGAGGCTGAGGTGAGCGGATTGCTTGAGCTCAGGAGTTTGAGATCAGCCTAAGCAAGAGAGAGACCCCCCTATCTCTAAAAAATATAGCCAGGTGCTGTGGTGGGCACCTGTAGTCTCAGCTACTTGGGAGGATGAGGCAAGAGAATCACTTGAGCCCTAGAGTTTGAAGTTGCTATGAGCTATGTGATACCACCGCACTCAAGCCCAGGGTGACTGAGTGAGAGTCTGTCTCAAAAAGAAAAAAAAGGGTGGTGCCTGTGGCTCGAGGAGTAGGGCACTGGCCCCATATGCCAGAGGTGGTGGGTTCAAACCCAGTCCTGGCCAAAAACTGCAAAAAAAAAAAAAAAAGATCAAGAATGGTGCCATACATCAGTGAATGGGTCCTGTGGCCATGAGGATCCTCTGGTGATCCAGGACACTGCTGAGATAACCTGCCATCCTAAATCCCAGGGGCTTCCCTAAAGGGTGTCCCCAGCAAGGCCCCCTGATGTAAGACTTCTGTGTGACTTCTGGGGACACAGGAAGGTCTGGGTAGAGTCACCGTCTGGCCATTTGGTCTCTGTATAAACTATGGGCATGGCCAGTTTGCTTCACCTCCTTGAACCTGAATTCTCTGCCATTTTAACGCACTGCTGATCAGTCACCAGTTACTCAGAAACATGGACAGTTCAGTGTAAAATTGCAGGTCAACACTGTGTTAAGATGTTAGAGGCACTGAGTGATTCTGTGTGATGAGCAGCTGAGAGATGAGCAGGGGAGAAAGAATCAAATAGGCTGAACTGGGGACAGCTGGGAATTGAGACTGAGCGAAGAGGCAGGGAACAGCTGCTGTGTTAATACATTGTTGATCAGCAATTTTACGCAGAAATTATCCATGTTATCGGGTAACTCGTCCAGTCAACAATGTGTTACGTTAGGATAGTAACAGAACCTAGTGGGTGGGGATTAACAATGAATGGGATGAGGTGTTTAACTGGCCTGGCCTGATGTCAGGTAAATAAGTATTCAGTAAGTCCTAGTCTTTGTTCTCTTGCAGTTTTCTGCCACTTATTCTATCAGGGGATGGGATCCCCTTGCCTTAAAAATGGTGGTTACATTTATATAATTGACTGGAGCTTGCTGAGGTTGCCCAAGTCCTCAGGTCAAAAAGAACTGGCAAGATTTTCACTTTCCCCTAAATATAAGGCAGGAACCTAGCAGTTTCCCTCTTACCTGTCCACCATCTGGAACAAGTTAGCTTTCCGTATTATTTCAGAGAAAAAATGACTATGTGAATCCATCTCTCAGCTCCCTGAGTTTCACTTTGAAAATCCCCAGAAAAAGCACGGGGATGTTCAAGTTAGGAGATCAGCCTTCAAGACCTGACTCTGTCCCTTTTAAACTTTGTGTCTTGTGGAAAGCGAATCTCAGCTCCATATGCTCGGTTCCTCATCTACAAACTGAGAAGGAGGACTCGAAACCTCCGAGCCCAGGGTGAGGCTCCGCTATGGTTGTGCGGCTACACGTGTGTCTGGCACATGAACGCACTTTGGGAATTTGTTTGTCGTTTTTATTTCTCCTCCTGACCACAGCCAAAGTGACCGTTTGGGGTAATTCTGATTCAGTGCCTCAAATGCAACTGCATTCCCTACACCGGTCATGTATGAACTTCATCCCCAGCTCCTTAGCAGGCATGGTCTTCATTAATTTCTAGTATTGTTTTATAAAGTAGATAGAAGAGCCAGCCAGCTTCCCTTTTCCTCTTTTTTGTTCTTCTCTCCTGTCTGCTTTCACAAAGGTTAGGGCAGGTCTGCCCACCGCATCCCATTCATCCCCCTCCCTTCATACTGAAGCTGTTTACAACTTAATTCCACCTTCGAGAACGACAGAGCCATAGCAGGTGCCCGTGCCCAGGCAGATCCCAGCACACAGCTCTTGCCCACCACTGTTCAGGTGGAATTAAGGGCCTCTCCCACATCCTGGCACAGAGATGGTTTAATTCCCATCACTCTGTCCATTCATCATCTGCTTGGGTGCAGAAAGCTGTCATTCACCCAGTATTCCGGCGTCTGCAGGACTTGAAACAAACAAAAAAAGCCGTGGGATTTTGACAGGTTCATTAAGATTCAGCTCCCTTCACTTCCTAAGCTGATGGGTGCATGTCTTAAAAACAAACACCAGCAAAGAAGAGAAGGGGAAGGAGGGCTAAACAAGGCAGGGGATCAGAGAAAGAGGTGAAGGGATGCAGGCGGTGGAGAGAGGGTGACAGGTTTGCAGAGAGGTTTGTTTGTGTAAGATCCAAAATGTTACTCAAGGACTGGGTGCATCCTCCGCAAGATGAAGGCACGACACAGCCAGAGGATGTGCTTTTAGAAACGATTTAAAAATAAAGCGTATCGTGTTCCATTCAATCTCCAAATCAGGCCAGAGAAAGGCAGATGGAGACCCGGCTCTCTAGGGAGGGAGGGAGGAAGAATTTCTCTAGGAATCCTTCTCGGCAGAACAACAAATTTGGAACACTCAAGGACTGGCTCACCTCTGAGTCTGGTGCAAACCCTGGGCCATGAAGAAGCAGGTGGTGATGGGTGGTGAAGTCAGACAGTAGTGTGAATTCTGCTGCAGGGATTCAAAAGGAGAAAATATTTAACAACCTGCCAAAGAACTTACAAACAAAGAGCTGTAGTGAGATTAATGGAAGTGTGTGACTTACCGCTGACATCCAGCGTCCTGTAACCCGGGGCAAGTCTCTGTTTCTCTGCACCTGAATTGTCTCTGATGTCAGAATCTAAGATCTCTTCCTGCTCTGAAAGGATATTGTAATTGGATGCTTTCTGTCTGTAATAACTGCATGCAGTGAAACTAGATTTAAACATAGTTCTTACATTTATTCAATACCTGCTACTGAATAGCTATTATTCTGGTAAGGTTGGGGTTGAAAAAGGCTTTATTGTTTTACATGGGTGATACTAAGAGCATTCCTTCAAAAAGATTATAGTCTAGTAGAAAAGAATTTGTATGACCACAATGAATTTAG